AGATGGCCACCATCCTGTGTGGCTGCAACTCAGCAAAATCTTTGCGTGCCCTCCATATCCTGAGTGTCCTCGCACAGTTCTAGTCCAGTCCACCCTCCCTCTGCTGGAGCCCAGGTTGAGTGGCTGTGGCTATTTTACAATTCTGTTTCTGCTATCTGCACTGTGGAGCCGGCTTGAGATTTTAACCCTGAGGGCCCTGCTCACAGCTAAGACCACCACTATTCATGGGCTCCCGGCCCCCCTCTCATGCCTCCGCAATCCTACCAGGATCGATTCAGTGTCCGTGGTTATATGGTCCTCACAAGCTGCTTTTCTTTTGCTTTTTCCTGACAATTTGTCTTTATTTTAGTTGTAATTTCCGTTTGGTCCTGGGAGATGGTCTGTGTAGCTTCCATTCACTCCACCACCATTTTGGAATCTCTGATTCTACTTTTTTTTCTAGTGGTGCCTAAGATAATTCTGTGCTTCAGTGATCACCACATATATGGTGGAACAATGGTAGGTTTGCCGTTTTTTCAAAAGGTGCCACTTTCTGTGAATGTCAACTCATCCAACCAGCCAAGGCTCCAGCAGGACAGTCTGCTTCATAAGGAACAAAGAGGAGGCAGAGCCAGCCTCTATGGTTTTTATTTGCTTTTCCCTGATGATTAGTGATGTTAAGCACCTTTTCATGTACCTGTTGGCCATATGTATGTCTTATTTGAAAAAATGTCTATTCAGATCTTCTACCCATTTTTTAATGGAATTGTTTGCAGAGGAGGGGAGAGTATCTTGCTATTGAGTTGTATGAGTTCTTTATATTTTTAAAATATTAACCCCTTATCAGACATATGATTTGCAAATATTTTCTCTCATTCAGTAGGTTGCCTTTTCTTTCCCGTTCTTTCTTTCTTTCTTTCTTTTTTTTTTTATGGTTTCCTTTCCTGTGCAGAAGGTGTTTAGTTTGATATAGTTCCATTTGTTTATTTTTTGCTTTTCTTAACATGTGTTTTGGAGACAGATACAAAAATTACTGCCAAGACCTATGTCAAGGATCTTACTGCGTAAGTTTTTTTCTAAGAGTTTTATGGTTTCAAGTCTTATGTCCAAATTTTTAATCCATTTTGATTTAGTATTTGTGTAGGGCGTAAGTTAGTGGTCCAGTATGATTCTTTTGCATATGATTGTAGATTTCCCAACACCATTTATTGAACAGACTGTCCTGTCTCCATTATATATTATTGGCTCCTTTGTTGTAAATTAATTGACCTAATATGAATACACATTCCATTGATCTATGTGTCTTTTTTTATGCCAGGACAATATTTTTTTTATCACTATAGTTTTGTAGCATAGTTTGAAATCAGGGAGCCCAGTGCCTCCAGGATTGTTTTTTCCTCTCAAGATTACTTTTGTGGTTTCAACATTTTATTGTTTTTTCTATTTCTGTGAAAAAAAGCAATTGGAATTTGATAGGAATTACATTGAATCTGTATATCTCTTTGGGTAAGCATAAACATTTGAGCAATATTATTTTTCCCAATCCATGAGCACATTATATATTTCCATTTATTTGTATCTTAATTTCTTTTGTCAATGTCTTATGATTCATAGTACAGGTCTTTTATCTATTTGGTTAAACATATTGCTATGTATTTTATTTTTCTTGATGCAATTATAAATGAGGTTGTTTCTCTAATTTCTCTTTCTGATATTTGTTATTAGTGTATAAAACCACAGCTTTTTGTATATTTATTTTATATCCTACAATTTTACTGAATTTTTTTATTAGTTCTAATAGTCTTTCATTGGAGTCTTTAGGGTTTTCTATATATAATGTTATGCAATTGTATTCCAGTCAATTTTTGAAAAACAAATTATCCTAGAATGTATAAGAGGTACATCTGAGCCCAGCCAGTGTGGATTGAGCATCGGCCCATGGACTGAGAGGTCCTGTTTCAATTTCCGGTCAGGACACATGCCTGGGTTGCAGGCTTGATCGCTAGTAGGGGGTGTGCAGGAGGCAGCTGATAACTGTTTCTCTCTCACATTGATGTTTCTATCTCTCTCTCCATTTTTCTCTCTCTAAAAAAAATCAATAAAAACATTTGTTCTAAAAAAGAGGTACATTTGAAAAACTTTTTGCAAATAAAAAATGTACTCAACCTGGCCAGGACACAGTCACTCATAGATGCAGTAAAATTTTTCAAGAATCTTCCCTATAGTATACCACAAAAACACAAGATATATCAAATGTGCATTAATGTTTATGTTCATAACAATTTTATTTTATACTGTCAATTATTTGGATTTAAATATTAACTAAGAATCCACTAGTTTACTAAATTACAGTACATCACATAATAGTATGTTGTATGCCTATTAAACTTAATATTTACCCAATGTTCTTTTTTAATTTTTTTCAATTAGTCTACAGTTAATAAAATTTTGTATTAGTTTCAGGTATACAGCATAATTGTTTAGACAATAATATACTTTACAAAGTCTTTCCCCTGATATTTTTAAGATTATACATAATTATTTACATAGTGTTCTTGATGCTAAAGGAAAATACTTGTTATATAACATTAAGCAAAAAAAAATGTAAGTCATAAAACACATGCACAACTATGTGAAATAGTTTTAAATGACAATCATTTTATAATTACAAATATTTTGTAAATGGGTATGATTAGTGGTCATTAAAATGCTTCTTTTGATTATTTTGTATTTTTCCTGAGAATAAACAACAATGTTTTTGAAATAATGACTAATTATTCAGGTGCTAAATTAAGTAGAAGCAAAATTTTACATTAAAATAACGTAATTCTTGTTTGAGTTTGAAACACTTCTGAGGAGCACAAAAGAAACAAAGAAAAGTAAGTTGACAACATACTATTTAAGGACTCATGTATAACTAAAATTTATGGACAGGCAACATGAGGAAATTTTTAAATAAACATTACATTTTGGACAACTGAAGCATTTGAAATATACTGCCTGTTAATAATAATGAAATGGTTAGGTAAATTATGGTTTTTCTATAAACTAGTATATTTTATAGTCAGCTAAAAATACATTTACAATGTAATAAATACTTATACTATAAATCCATGTGAAAAAAATAGTTTGAGATATTTTAAAAATAGAAATAGACTTTGCATAGATTATATATGTAATCTCTGTGAAGAATGTGTAAAAATTTCATATATGTAAAAAATATTTTAAAAACAAAAAAAGAGAAGGTAAATCACGCTAACAGAAGTAATAAATGTGACATCTTGATGCATTTGATTATCTCCAATTTATTTAAAGTGATAATCTCATAGTTTTACAGTTTACAAAGAAATGTATTTAAAATATCTTGATTTAAGGCCTACCCTTTCAGCTACATAAAGGGCATTAGGAAGGTAAGTATATAGAATGCTGAGCCTGCTGTCAATTGAGAAATGAACAGTAAATTAATCATTACAATGATACTTAATAAATTCTTTTTAAGAGTATGCCTGGATAATTGATATGTGGCATGTTCTTGGACAAATACAAAGGAGAGGTGATCAAAATGCCTGCAGAGATGTATAGTTTTGACATGGGATTATGTCCACATTATTTTGCTAAGTGAGAAAGGTGCATTCTAGAAGAGTAAGTGTCATATTGTCCGATTAAAAATGTTCATTTACTACCATACATATACAAAAATATATAGCAGCCTCCTGTAAAATTATATTAGCTGTATGTTGAAAATGGGGGCTTTATACATATTTTATTTCTAATACACTGTCTGAAGTGGGATGAGTGAGGAGTTTCTAGAATGAGGGAAGGTTCACTGTGTCAGGTGGTGCTGATATGTCATGTACGATGCAGACCGAGTATTGACCATTGGACTTGGCAATGGGGAGGTTCCTGTGACAGGAAGTTCATGGGATAGGAAACATGTCTGACTGGGGTGAGATCAAGGAAAATAGATAAATATATTGAATCTTGAATGTACAGACAACTCTTTCAAAGTCTTTTACTGTGATGGAGAGGGAGAAAGAAGAAGACCAGGAAGAGGGAGATAAGAAGGAAGAAGAGGTAGAGGAGGAAGAAGAGGAGGATAAAGATATAAAGGAAGAAGAAACAGAGAAATAAGAAGAAGAAAAAGAAAGGCAGAGAAAAGGCTATAGGGGGATGTGGGTGCCAGAGGTTTTTGCCTGCTTCTCTCCCTCCCACCCTCCCTTCCTTTCTTGAAATTTTAGGACAAATAACAAAATGTATACAGATGTAGGTGAGCCTTTAAAGAATAAAACTGTGTGATAATGAGGACAGAGGGAATAATATTTAGATTAACATCTCAATGTAGATAAGAAGAATGGTAACTATTTCACCACAGCATGGCATAAAGCAAGAAAGAGTAGTCCCGCAATTATCAATGATTCATCTCTTTCCAAATACCTATCTCAGATTATAGACTAGGAACGGTTTATTGATCATACTCTGACTGAGAAAGCTTATGGAGCCACAAAGATACTGATCTGTTATTATTGAAGAGAGACTTTGTAAAGCATGTCCCAAAATAAAAAAATAAAATAATTTTAAAATGCCCTGGCCAGCTTTGCTCAGTGGTTAGAGCATTAATCCACGGACCCGAGGGTCGTGGGTTTGATTCCCAGTCAAGGGCATGTAACTGAGTTGCAGGTTCAATCCCCAGACCTGGTCAGGGTCATGTGGGAGGCAACTAATCAATGTGTCTCTCTCACATCTATGTTTCTGTTTCTCTCTCTCTCTCTCTCCTTCCCTCTCTCCCACTCTATCAAAAAATCAATGGAAAAATATCTTCAGGTGAAGATTAACAAAATAAGAGAAGCATGCCTCAAGTTCCCCTGTGGACTTGCTCCAGAAACATATACTTGGTGAGATACAGTCTATAGACTACATAGATATATAGTCTCAGTTGTCCCTCATATACTTGGGCTTTTAAAGCTTACCTCAATGCATGGCTAGAAATGTTGAGAAAACTGATCTGGTTTCTATTCCCAAAGTCATATCTGTTTTGAAAACAAGATATGAATCATCTGGCCCCGGATCTCTTTGGTCTTGATTCCATAAATGATGGGATTCAGCATAGGAGGTATCATAATGCAGATATGGGCCAGCAGGATATGGACAGAGGGTGAAATGTGGTGTCCGAACCGCTGAGTGAGGACTGAGAAGATCCCAGGTCCATAAAAGAGGATGATGATGCAGACATGGGAACCACATGTGTTGAGAGCTTTGGAGCGAGCATCTCGGGAAGGGATGCGAAAGACAGCACGTAGAATAAGGATATATGAAACACAAATTAGACAGACATCTAAAGCAATTGTTGACAGTAGGAGAAAAAATCCATACCAGATGTTTATTCGTATGTCATCACAAGAAAATTTAGCCAACCCAATGTGCTCACAAACAGTGTGTGGAAGAATATTACTTCTGCAAAAAGTCAGCCTTTTCAGGAGAAATATTATGGGGAATACTGTACCAAAACTTCTCAGAAAGATTGTCACACCAATTTTCCCAATCAGTGCATGTGTAAGAATAGCTGTGTATCTGAGTGGGTAGCATATGGCAATGTAGCGGTCAAATGCCATCACCAGCAAGATCCCTGACTCAGTCATGAAGGTGGAAGTGAGGAAGAATACCTGAGTGATGCAGCGATCCAGCGAGATCTCCTCAGCATGGAACCAGAAGATGCCCAAGGCCTGAGGTACTGTACATGTGGAGAGGACAATGTCTGTTCCAGCCAGCATGCAGAGGAAGAGGTACATGGCTTCATGGAGGCTGCTCTTTGTGAGGATGATGAAGATGAGCAAACTGTTCCCAAACAGGGTCATGACATAGGAAATGAAGAAGGGGATGGAAATCCACATGTGCTGGTCCTCAAGGCCAGGGATGCCCAGCAAGTGGAAGACTGTGTGGCTAACACTAGTATAGTTTAAGGTAGTCAAATGTGGGGAGACCACCAGAGACATCACTTCTTACAGAGCCAGGAAGACACCGACTTTCGTGGAATATTCTTTGTGAAAACACCAGAAAATTTTGGCATATCCCATACTTCCATCTTCTTTGAACACACAAATAATAAGAAACACAAAGGTGCAAAAGACATGTTCTCTGCCCTCAGTGACAATCTCATTAAAAGATACAGGTTTTTAACTAATTGTTCTTTCCCACAAAACAGTGATCAGTGTAGAGAAGAAACCACTGTGTGTGTGTGGGAAGGCAGTAACAAGATGATACTTGAACTTGAGATTGAGCAGTTCATATAAAGTTAAGGGTGAAAACAGGGAATCACCATGAGAAATATCTGCATTCTTGAAACATTTTCAGCCCCGTGGCTGAAGCATAGGAAGTGCTGGAGAGGGCCAGGAGCGGTTGCCTAGGCAGATTTGTTCTGATTGTGAAGGGCCTTGATTACAACTTCAGAGTAAGGCGTCATCCTTTTCCCAGGGAGGATCATCAGATGTCTTGAAGCCAACTGTTTAGAACAATTACTCTACTTTAAAATCTTTTTTCTTTATTGATTTTAGAGAGAGAGGACAGGACAGGGAGAAGGAGAGGGAAATAGAAACTTTGATGAGAGAGAACATTGATCAGCTACCTCCTGCATGCCCCCCACTGGGGATTTGGCCCATAACTTGGGCATGTGCCCTGACCAGGAATCAAACCAGAGACCTCTTGGTGCATGGGTTGATGCTCAGCCACTGAGCCACACCGGCCAGGCAATTACTCTACTTTAGAAAGATCACTGGTAGAGATTTATTGAAACCATAATTGACCAAAATACAGGATTCTAAAATGCCAGTGGTATTCCAGGAATAGAATGGACCTCAACATAATACAGTCGCAGAAGAATTAATTGGATATTTATTATGCATATGCTTTATACCAGAGGCCATAGTAAGCATTTTGCATGAGGCACTTTGTATATTTCTGAATCTAGATGTTGAATATCCATTTCAGGACTGGGCATTAACCCCATTTCATGCATAAAGAAGGTGGGACTCTATGAATGTGCATCATTTTCCACATATCACAAGCCAATAATTGATAGAAATAAGATTTTAAATTTCTGAAATTATCACATATAATTTGTTCACTTGTGAAGAGAGTCAAAAGACCTTTAAGAGGCAACACTGACAGGGAATAAGTGCCTGAGCTGGAGCACTCCTTGTGTTCACATCTTAGGGAACTAAGTTTAGCAATTATTGAAATGGGAGAAAGAAAGACATTATTGCTGCGCATGCAACAGCATGATATCTGGAAGACTTTCTGGAGGTGGAAATTATATCATATATTTGGTAGTGTTCTTTCACTAATTAACTCCATCATTCAGAGAGTATATTTTAGCCCTGGCCAGTTTGGCTCAGCGGTTGGAGCATCAGCCTGCAGACCAGAGAGTCCTAGGTTCAGTTCCTGCTAAGGGCACATACCTCAGTTGCAGTTTGTCCCCAGCCCTGGTTGGGGTCGTGTGGGGGACAGCCAGTCGATGTGCTTCTCTCACATCAACGTTTCTCTCTCTCTCTCTCTTCCCCCTCTCTCCCTCCCGCTCTATCTGAAGATAAATGCAAAAATGTTTTCGGGTGAGGATAAAACAAAAAAAAGTATATTTTAAGCATTACCATTTTTCAAGTACCATAACACAAAATGGGACTATCAAAAAATGAAAAACATCCAGAATCCTAGGGGCTTACAGTTTGAGAGTGAAACAAATTTGTAAACAGATAGTTTTGGAGAATTGGAGACAAATGTTAATACCCTCTGGTCAAGGGATATCTCTAAATATCTATCTCAGTAGCTGTTATAGCTTGTGCAAATTATAATTCTTTCTTCCACTCCAGGTAACCCCTCTTGGTGCCTCTGTTTTCTTCCTCCTGAGGAGGGAGAGCAGCTCCTATTACCATCCTATAAGTGATGGGAGAAACTGTTCTACCATTAGAGTTACTACTGGTCAAGGGAGACCAGTCACTGGCCTTGAGGTGGAAACCATCTCACTAGAACATATGGCTGCTCTATGAGAGGAAGAGGCCAGCAGACATGCAGTTCAACAAAGGCAAGGACTTGAGATAAGGAGAGATTATAGAAGCGGATGATGCCAAGTTACTGGGGAGAGGTTGTAGCAGGGAAGTTTTATTCACTTCAGTCCATGACTGAAGCCAGAAAGCTAAGAAGTTCGGGAATCGCCTGATTGGTCTCCTGTTAGAAATATTTTGCTCTAACACATGTTTATCCTAGAAATCTCTCTCAAATGCCTCTACCCCCGCACTCCCACATACTTTTTTCTCACATGTGCCCGAGATGGTGTGGCTGCCTCCTCTAAGTCCTTTCCACACTCTGCTTTGGGAAGCCTGGCACAGATCTCAGTCATGATCAAGGCTCTTCTCATATTTTCCAAGATGCGTCTTCAGTCTTCCGTTTTTCTCATACCCAGTCAAATTATTAGGGCATCTGTTAACTTTAGGATGACATCTCTTTACAATTCAGTAACATCGGAGAACCCATGTACTATCACCCCCTTTCCCACACCTCACCCTCCGTTTCTTCTGTACCCAACCAGATTTGTATGCCTGGTCTTTTCCATTCTGCATCCACATATACCAATCGCCTTTAAGAGTCCTATCACCTCTGGCCTGTGTGGGACATAACATCAACCCTGCCCTTACCTTGATCATGAAACCATCCCAACCACAGATGTCTGATTCACTCAGCAGCCTTAGATTGTCTTCAGGAATAGACATTCGATTGGACATGAAATTCAGCTTTTTGCATTCCAGGAGTTGGGTTATTTATCTTCTGTCATGAAAGCCCTTGAGGGAAGCACTTATACCAGCACTCCAGGGACAGAGCTGTCTCTCCACCAGCCTCACCCTCATCCCTAATATGCATGTTTGATAACACCATTCCCCAATGCCTTCACCTCTTCCTGTCCATTTCTCTCTTGCTTCTCTCCAGAGGATCCTATACAAAAATCATCTACTACCTAAGCTAGCCTTGCTACAGACCTATTTTATTAAAGTAGGAATATAAATGCTTACAATTAATATGGACTCATGGTATTTAAAGTTTTATTTTTCATGAAAAGAATTACATGAAACTCACATAGGTTTGTTTTTTTTTTCTCCTTAGAGTTCAAAATTTTAAACAGCATATACCTTGCTGTTTCTCCCTTCTCTTCAGTCTAGTCCACTGTTTCTTAATATTGTATTCATTATCACCCAGTTATGGAAATTTTAAGATATCTTTTCTTAATTGCCCACTATGAAGTGGTTGTTTTTTTCATCCTCACCTGGGGATATTTTTCCATTTATCTTCAGTCAGAGTGGGGTGGGGGGAGAGAAAGAGTAACAGCAATGTGAGAGGGATACGTTGACCGGTTGCCTCCCGCCCAACCCCGACCAGGGCTGGGTTCCAAACTGCAACCAAGGAATGTGCCCTTGATTGGAATCAAACCCATGACTCTTTGGTCCACAGACTGATGCTTTAACACCTGAGCCAAACCAGCCAGGGCCATCCCCTATGATGATTTAATAGCACAGATAACCTGCATTTCTGTTTATGTATTGTGTCTGTGCTTTATACATAAAAGCAGTAATTTTTTTTGCCACCTTCCCCTCAAGAACAATTTTTGCTTCTTTGGGGGTGTTATCACCCCTGCTGAGGAAGCATAGTCCATCCTGAAACACAGTGAGCCTTTTATTGCAGCTCAAGAAATAGTTTATTTGTGTGATTATTGTCTCTCATCTACTGTCTTTTATTCCTTCTAGAATTCTAGTAACATATACTTTGTTATTCTTTATTTATCTTCATATTTTTGCTGCTTGTTTTGAGATATTTCTCAAATCTATTTGGATCTCAAAAAACATCATCTCTTCCTTCAATTCATCCACTAAATTGTTTTTAAAACAAATCATGTTATGTCCTCAGAAAGTGTTTCTTCCCACTCCCTCCTTGAATTTCTTTTTTTTTTGCTACAGATATTTCTCCTTTTTTACCCCACTGACACCCTCCTCCTCCTCGCCCCCGCCCCGTCCCCGGTTGTTGTTGTCTATGTCCATTGGTTATGCATATATGCATATAAGATATGTGGTTTATCTCTTTCCTCCCCCCACCACCCCCTCTTCTGAGGGTTGTCAGTCTGTACCCTACTTCCATGTTTCTGGGTCTACCCTATTCCTCAGACTGTTATGTTCATTATATTCCACAAATAAGTGAGATCATGTGGTATTTGTCTTTTTCTGCTTGGCTTGTTTCACATAGGATAATACTTTCCAGGTCCCTCAATGTCGTCTCAAAGGATAAGAGATCTGTCTTTCATACAGCTGCATAGTACTCCAATGTGTATATGTACCACAGCTTTTTTATCCATTTGTCTACTGATGGACACTTGGGCTGTTTCCAGATCTTAGCTATTATACATAGTGCTGCTATGAACATGGGGGTACATACATTCTTTAAGATTGGTGTTTCAGGTTTCTTAGGGTATATTCCTAGAAGTGGGATCACTGAGTCAAATAGAAGTTCAATTTTTAATTTTTTGAGGTAACACCATATTGTTTTCCATAGTGGCTCCACCAGTCTGCATTCCCATCAGCAGTGGACTAGAGTCCCCTTTTCTCCACACCCTCGCCAACACTTGTTGTTTGATGATTTGTTGATGGCGGCCATTCTGACAGGTGTGAGGTGATATCCCGTTGTTGTTTTAATTTGCATCTCTCTGATGATTAGGGATGTTGAGCATTTCTTCATATGTCTCTTAGCCATTTGTATGTCCTGTTTGGAGAGGTGTCTATTCCACTCCTCTGCCCATTTTTTAATTGGGTTCTTTGTCTTCCTTTTGTTGAGTTGTATGAGTACTCTATATATTTTGGAAATTAACCCCTTATCTGATGTATCATTGGCAATGATGTTCTCCCATACTGTGGGTTGCCTTTCCATTTTGATGATTGTTTTTTTTTTGTTTTGTTTTTTGTTT